GGCCCGACAAACCAAACCTTCACTGAGAGGTCCCGAACCCTCGTCCATTGGGAGAAGGAACTCTCTTTTGGGCCGTCTAAACGAAACAGGGTACACATTTGGCTGTGGCTCAAAAACAATGTACCAGAATGGCACCTTGGCAAGTGGAACCAAAGACTAGAACCTGCGAAACCCTAGCACTTTAATTTTGAGCCACACCCATTTGAGGGGTCAGTGGATCTTCACCTCAGCTGCCAATCGCTGGGTTCAGCCATGACCTTGCCACGTCAGCATCCTTGTGGGAGAGGGAGACTTGAGGCAAGGGTAATGAATGGAAGTGGAGTCGCCAACTGTCCAAGGAGAGAAGCTGTGTGTAAACTAGAATTTTCAGACAAGGGCAACCCCCCCCTCACCCCACTCAACCCTCCCCCATTCCTTCTTTCCATCCATTCATTCATCCGTCCGTCCCTTTCCCCCCATTTGCTTCCCCCTCCCTCCCTTCCCCCTCCCTCCGAAACGGACACTCTCGCCGCCCGAGCTCCCCTGGCCACGCGGTGCGATGGTCGTCCTTCCGCGGCAGTCGCTGCCAGTAAGCCTGGCTCCGAGATGAGCATGTACAAGGGGGGCCAAATGGAGCCCGGCGTTTTATGAAGGTGTCCTTTTTTTTGGAGCTGGTACCTGGTTTTGGAAGGCTTTAGAGGGAAACCAACATGAAAACAACATTTTGTTGGGGGGGGGGTGAACCTGTTTGGAGTTGGTATCCCTTTTTGTTGTGGTTTTGAAGGGAAACTAGAAAAAGGACACACCGACTTTGGCAAGAACGGCCAATTACCAACTGATGGGGTCAACGGTTGAAAAGGCATTAAGCTGCGGGATGAGCAAACACCGGCAACTACTGTGCCAACCGGGAGTTCAAACCTAGGAGCATCACCTCAAACCTCTACTTCCACACGGGGCAATTGCCAACTTGTATTCCCGAATCCATGTTTGTAACCTATGAGCATCACCTTTCTGATCGGGAAAGGTGATGTGGGGCGCCTGGGATTGACCTATACTCACGTCATGAGTAATCCACACAAAAAATGATGGATTCCCGCAAGCAGAGAACACCTCCCTATTCACCAAGCAGGGTTGATTCATCCTTCCGTATCGGTGAAACTAGAGCTACATCCTAGTCCCCAAGGTCAAAATCGGACAAAGCGAGCGAGCAAGTAGAACATCTGCTGTGGTCCATGGGTACCCATTCCCGGATTTGTTTTAAGCCCCTGGTTGAGTACAAGGGGTATGGGAACTCTGGATCAAAGTACAACCCCTGCATTGAATTTGGGTGAGTGCCCAATTGCCGCAAAAAGGAGAAGAGATGGGCTCTACTTGGATCTGGGGTCAACATTACAAGAACTTCACAACCCGAAACAAGGCATGTCGGGCAGCGCTTTTGCCATGTCGGGCAGCGATGTTTCTGTTGCCCCAGAAACTTAGCTGTTTTCAAGGCAAACCTAAGAAATACCGACGCAGTGCATGCCGGGGGGTGCCCGATCAAGAAACAAATTTGAAACAGACCCTCTCAATTCAAAAAAAACGGTCCTCCTCCTCCCACGCAATGTCCATTGGACGCTTGGAATTGAGGGGTCCAGGCGTGAGACAACTCCCCCCCCAAGTTCCGAGGTCTGGGCCCAGCCCAGCACTGCCGCCCCTGCGGGTCTCACTCAGGGCCAAAGTCCCCGAGTTGGAATGACCCAGAACGATCCAATCCCTAGGCTCAACATAAATTCCCCTGACCCGCAAAATGAGTCAGAGACATTGGCTTGCCAAGGTCCCTTTTTCCTTCTCGGGTGGCTGAGGACCATGCACAATTGGAAAGGTTCTCCCATCATCTTTCACACAAGTTCAGAGGTTTAAGGTCGAACCAACGCTCGAAGTCGGTTCCGCTTCGTGAAACAATACCCTTGTTGGGTTGCTACCGACTTTTAAACACGCAAGTACCGTGGATTCCCCGAATGCAAGCGAAGAAATATGAAGAAGTGCCACTACCCGACAGCAAACATAATGAGCCATGTGCATTCTGAAAAAATATCCTATCCTTCACAAACAGAACACAGTATGAAGTGGGTGCTGCACGGAATCAGTCAGGAAAGGAAGGTCAAAACGAAGGCTGAAGCAACAAGCCTCTTCGATTGTTCAGAAAAGGGTCGAACGCGGATGATTTCAGCCCGAACATCTGGGTTGGCCTTTGACCCCGTGAAACAAATATGTTGTGTTGGCATTCAGTGGGCAAGCAACCATTTGCCCGAACACTTCACAGTTGTTTCGCTGCAGCTTCACCTGGGCGATCAAGGAGATCCTGTCAAGAAGACCCCTTCCCTACAACTGGTGTGTTTTCCTGCCCCTTGGTGAACAGCATGTTTGTAGGGTTTGTCCCTCACAAGGATGTGGGCACCCCTTTTTGTTGGTTTTAAAAGGAAACAAAAAGGACAACCACCATGCTTGGGGTCCCTGAAAAGACACTCCATAATCCTGCTGAACTCGAAACATCCAAAAGTCTGCGGGATTTCAACTCTAACATCCCAGAGCCACCCCAACTTGAACGTGCAAATCACGAGCAGAAAGTAGCTAACCATGCCCAAACAATCCATGTAGGTGATACTGTGGAATCCACAGTATTGTTCATATATACCACAAGTTTTCAAGTAAATGTGGGTATATAATAGCTACATGGATTGTCTGGGATATTTAGAAACGAGATATCTGGGATTGGTGTGCTTATGATGGCTATGACCAACTTACTACTCACCTGCCAACTATGACCTACTTACTACCCACCTGCTAATTATCAATCTGGAATCTCAAAGAATGGGTTTTTGAGCATGCTTCCAATCGCCCCAAGTCCAAAACAGCGTCGCTTGTGTTGCTAAAATAGGCGGGACCACAACGGTGGGTCCTTGGATTCCCGTTGGTATCCTTCAAAAACAGAAGAAGAATATAAACACACATATTGACCAATAACAGTTTGGGCCAAGATGTCTTCTCAAACGGATACGGAAAAGGGGAACGTCCTTTGGATTTTTGTTTTGGACCGGTCGATCTTGAATGGGGGTTGTTCCCTTTCGATACTTCACTGTTTGCAGGGCTCCCCCAATTGACCGTCAACGAAACATCCGTTTCAGAGCGAGGTGGGTCTTCCGCAGCAACCGGGTAGCTTTTTGGGGATATGTGAGTGTGTCCCTTTGAGGGGACCCCCCAAAATAGAGAGTGGGCCCATTGCGGGTCCCGTTTTTTTTTTACAGCGTTTGTAGCTGTTTTTCTAGCTGTTTCTCGTCTCAACCCATGTAGTGAGACTCTTACAGGCAATGGTATACAGCAAAGTCGCATCCTCAAACGAAATTGACAAATTTGCTGCAAGCATTCCATTGGAATGCATTCCCTGCTGATTCACTGATCTAGGAAAAAACATAGTGTACCAAACGCGCTCAAAAGACATCCAGCAACTCCTTCTCCGTTTAGCGCTTGCCAGATGAGGAGGCAGGCCTTTTCTTGGTCGAAGACACCATTCACGATGAGGCGGCACGCTTTCTGGGCACGCAAGCGCATGGCGCTTGAGGAGGTGAGAGCCGAGCACGAGTACGACCTCCCACTTGGGCGACGGAAGATCTCGAGACCTGCACTGGTTGATGTGATCCATGTCGGAGTTGCCCATCATCAGGTTGCGCTGCCGAGGGTAAAGGAGGACTTAAGCCGGTGTGAGTCTGCATTCGTAGTGCTGAATGTTGACGCATAGCCCTGTTGACGTCGAGGCCGGCGTTTGAGGCGCTCCGCCTGGTAAGAGTTGCACTTGCAGTGGTCGACATGGAACTGCAACCAGTCGCGGATCTTACGAAGCGACTGCTTCTTCTCGCAAGACGCCCTGGATGCAGCTGATGGCTATGCCTTTGGTATCGGGCTCCTTCATCTCAAGGACATCAGGGATCAGGCCAGTCTCTGGACTGCAGACCATGAACCCTTGACCAAGCATCGCAGGCGTTGCCGCAAAAGCATGCCGCGACTCAGATCGAATGGGAAGATGAAGCCGGGTTGATCCGCTGAGCAAGGCACGTCAACCAACCTCATGCAAGCAAAACTCTGGCTCCCAAACCTCGCGAGGAGCGCGGGAAGCGGCTCCAACTCTGCGGCCTCCTCAGAGTTTTCACAAAACTTGAGAAGCAGGTGGACGAAAGGTAGCTGCACGGCGAGGCACGCGGCCGGCACTCTGCGCCGGCACGTCTGCTCGCTGGCTGCTGCCAATGTTAGCGGGAGCACTCAGGTTGGAACGTGTTGGCAAAAGAAGTGGTAAGCCCACCACTCGACTTTTGCAGGATTCCCGTGCGAAAAGAGCTTTCGTCATGTCCAGGCCTTGCGCAAAAGGCCGCCCACTGTCCACGGCTGCTTCTGCTTCAGCTCGCCTGTGCCCTGGACATCCACCGTCTGGTTTTGCAGGTTTTGAGGAACTTTGTCATAGCCACCGCTGAGGCAACTCAAAACCCTTACCACCATGACCTGGCACATCAGGTTCACCTGCTGCGCCGTGGACAGCTTCAAGACAGGCATCCTTGCCGGATCGAGTCTGCGCATCTCTCACAGCCATCTGCGTCACAGCTGTTAGGTCGGACCGGCGCCGGGAACCTGCGAAAAGCTTGAGGCCTGCTTTGTCACAGCTCGTCGAGCCAGGCCACTAGCGCAGCCAGCTATAACGCCAGAACTCTGGTTTGAGAGGGTTTGCCCAGCCACGAAACCAACCCAAAACAACCAAAAACAACCAACAACCAAAGTACCGGATTCGGTGGTCGAACCACCTTCAGGTTAGTGGCAGGCGAACCAAAGCCCACGGAACCGAAGACCCCGGTTGGAGCGAGGTGCATGGCGCGCCAGGCTTGCCGATGCATCCCGGGCGAACATTGGTCAGAAGGTGATGTTGAGATGGCCCATGCAAAAACTCTTATAGCTGTCCTGGAAGAGCTGAAGTGCTGAAGGAGCTGGAGGGTTGCTCTGGGCCTCCTTTGGAGGAAACGGGTCTTCCACCTTCCATATTGGTCCTGAGATCCGGTGCTAAAAGTGAAACCTCTGGGTCGAGAGGTTTGCCCAACCACTACACCAACCATAGCGGACGATTCACTGGTCGAACCACCTTAAGGTTAGTGGCAGGCGACCCAAGACATGGCCCATGCAAAAACCTTTATAGCTGTCCTGGAAAAAGAAATCAACGGGGCGAACTTGGAGGGGGTGGGTTGCTGAAGTGCTGAAGGGAAGGAGCTTGAGAATGTTGGTCCTCAGATCCGGTGCTAAAAGTTAAACCTCTGGGTTGAAAGGGTTTGCCCAACCACTAAACCAACCAAAAACAACCAACAACCGAAGTACCGGACGATTCGCTGGTCGAACCACCTGAAGGTTAGTGGAAGGACTCCCAGGGAGAAATCGAGCCTCGGGGGGGGGGGGGGGGGTCTAAATAATTGATTATTTTCAATGTTTTCGGCTCAAATAATTGGGCATTTGAGCCCCCTTACCCTGCTTACGCAAGGAGAAACTTCAGCTAGCTAGGCTAGCTTTGGTGAAAAGGCCAAGAAGGCGAAGAAGGACAAGCGCAGCAAAAAGGCGAAGAAAGCCAAGAAGTTGGACAAGAAGAGAAGGGCCAAAGCCAGCAGCTCGAGCGCAAGCAGTGGTACGCTGGGGCCAAGTCCATTTCCCGTCTTTGCACTGGCCTGGGCGGGCTACAGGGCAAAGCTGGTGGCAGGGGACTTGGAGCCTTCCATTTTCCGCAAGCTTTTCGACGTTTTCTCTTCCTCTGCCTTCGTGTTAAAGAACTGGCAGGTAGCGATGTGTCTCTTCCCGTCTCCGGAGGTCACGAGCTGCTCCTCCGTCAAGACACTCTTCAAATACTCCGCGCCCAGGCGCCGCAGCGCTCCCCAGTTTGCGTCGCGCGTCGTCTTTGCGACGCGCGTCGTCTGAAGCTCATCCTGCTCACACTCTTTGCGCCGGATTTGGCACTCACCCAGGCAAAGTTCACGCGCGCGTCCGGCAACGACCGCAGCAACTTCTTCTCCAAGTGACTCCGCAGCTCCACCTTCGAGGCCTGCCTTGCAACAGCTCTCTTTCCCGTCGCGGGCACCGAGCTTTGTTCACATGGAAGGGCTTGAGCAGGGCCCGCAGTTCGCAAGCCAAACCAAGCTTCCAGATGCCGGCTGCGCTGCCACAACCTGTTTAAACAAAAGCCCCGCCTAGCCAATGTCAATAACCCGCGAGGCCCTAGCACGGCTGACTCAGTTTAGAAACACGCTGACTGCGCCGCAAGCCAAGCCGCCTGTTTTCATGGCGCTGGCGGCCCCGTTTTGCTTCAAACCGCCGCCCTCTGCGAGGACCCATTGGTCTTGCGCCAGTTTGTCGTTTCTGTTTGTGGCAGGCTTTGTTTGCTCAAGACATGACATGACATGGTCAAGGTATGTTTGTTGTTTCGACTTGTTGCAGGCTTTGTTGCCGCTCTGCCCTTTGACGGCAGAGCCCGGCCAGCTCCCCTCCGCCTGGTCTTGTAGCTAGCCGCTGTTAGCTTGCGGCAGACCTGGTCCCTGGCCCTCCCGATCCGGGATCGGCCCTCGCGTGCGCGTCGGGGCCTTATACTGGGAGCCTACGTGTGTAGGGGCTGGAGTAGCGGTCAAAAAAGCGGCGGTGCGGAATTCACAAAGGATGCGCGAAGCAGCGTGCGCAGCGCGTTCCGGAATCTTGGAAGCTCCCCGTCAACACAACAGCCCACACTCAGACAACACTCAGTCAACTCAGTCAACACCACAGTCAACACTGCAGTCAACACTGCAGTCAACACTACAGTCAACACTAGCAAGACCCTGGCAGAGAGAATGAAGCTGTCCAGTCAGTAGTGAAACTATCAAAAGTATGAATCTAGCTTTTTCAATGCCTGCGAGAATTTTGGAGTGTTGACTGCAGTGTTGACTGTAGTGTTGACTGAGTGTTGGCTGAGTGTTAACTGCGCAAGCCACGTAATGCTTTGTTTTGCGCCGCTTGCAAGGCTACCTCCGTGCACGTGTGGCCATGCGCCTGCGTGAGACAACCTGGGCTGGTTTCGAGCGTTTGCCTGCGAAGCTGCACCATATCTCGGGGAAGCTTAGACTGAAGGAAAACTTTCTATCGCTGAGGGAACTAGCGACAGAACGCGCAATGGCGGCAGGTAGAATTTGGTTGGTTTGGTAGTTGGTTGGTTGACTGTAGTGTTGACGGAGTATTGGCTGTTGCGTGCACGGGCTCAGCAATCAGACATGAAGCAACGCAACAAAGAGCCCTCTACACCAGTCAGTAGCCACGGGCAAGTTGAGCATCACTTTTTCCAGCGTTGCGCAGTATGTTGTAAACAGCGCGCTGCAGAAACCACAAAGCACAGGATGCACGAAGCAGCGTGCGCAGCGCGTTCCGGAATCTTGGGGATGCGTCAACACAACAGTCCCTCCGTGACCCTAAACCCTAAACCCTATAAACCCAGTGGTCGGCGCGCCCCTCCCCCTGCCCCCCACGCGGTTTGAGAACATTGCGCCCTGAGCGCGACGTCGATTGTCGAGCTCGCTGCGGAAAAAAACATTAACGATTTGTGTTAACGCCACGTTGGTCCCCGCGAAGGGCCGCCTGTCGTTTGGGCACTTTTTGCGAGAAGCAGGTACCCCACCAAAGCCCGGCCTGTAGCGCCCGCTGCCTTGGCAGCTCTGCGCACACCTGGGATGAAGTGGGCTGTGTCGCACCTCCCTTCGCCTCTTGCTTTTCTCGCCTGGGGAAAAACATGTGGGTGTGGCTTAAAAATAAAGAGATAGGGCTACGCAGGATTTAGTCCAAGTATGCATTTTCCAGGGTTAATCCTATTTTGGGCCCCCTACTTTTGAGCCTCATCCCTGTGTGTTCAGCTTCCCTCTGGTTGATGGTCTCGTGGTGTTCCGGGGTCGTTTCCCATTTACCCTCTGCAAGAACCAGGGCTTCAAACCCCCAAACCACCAATCCATACCACCAAGTCTGTGCTACCTGCGCTGTGTCCTCTTTGGTTGGGACCAATCAAATCCCCCCTACCAGTCAAACTCCCTGTCAAATCCCCTCTAAAAGCCGGTGCAATTCCCCTTCCCCCCTAGAAACCAGAGACAATTGCACCTTCGCTTGGCCCAAGCCCTCACGCGCCGACTCATCCACTCTGGCAAACACAACGCTGCAAGGCAAACTAGTATAGACCTCAAAGTCTCAAAGCCAGCTAAAGCGGACTGGCCGAGGCGGGCGACACGAAGAGCTTACAGAAATCACAGAATCTGGAGTCTCCCATCGGACTGCAATATTGGTATCCACTCCAAGTTCATCAGACCCATAACTATGGAAACTGGTTCTAGAGATGTGCGATATGCAGTGGGATTAAATCTCAATAGCCAGTTTGTGACTCCGAAGAAGATTTATCGGTATCCCAAAACATGGCAAAAACAACATGCCCCACAACGGATGGAGGCTACACGCTGTGCTTTCGGTAGTTTGAGAGTCCCCGTGCTTCTTTTTAGGCGAGTCCATCTTACTTTGCGTGCCTTGTTTGCTTGGTGAAGTGTTTCAAGGCGCCGTGGTGTGGGTGTGCCAGAGCATTCAAGTCGTTGTAGGCCGAGCTGCTTGGAGCCTTCTTGGCTAAATCCGCTCGGCCCGGAAGGCACCCAAAAGTCCCAAGACTCGGGATGGGGATTTTCTAAGGGCCGCAGCCCGACTCAGTGGCACCTCCGCTGTCAAATTTCAGCCTTCCAGGGTTGGGGACTCGATGCTGCGGCCTCCATGCGCAGGGGTCACAGGCCAAAGCTTGGGGGTCTCTTGGGGGGGGGGGGTGGATATGGGTCTGAGGGAGATTGTCCAGGTTGCCAAAGCAAGCAGCGAGCGGCATAACGCGCAAACAAAAAACTAGGACTCCAAAATGAAAGGTTGACAACATGAACCAAACCAGGCAAGCCAAAGGTCAGATCTGGTCGATTGGCAGTGGTTGCAAGTGATTCACTTCCATTGGCCTTCCACGTGCCGCAACACAAATCATGATGTATGATTCACCAGTCATAGCCCCTTGCCCCAGAAAAGCAATGCGGAGAAATCCCCTATCACCAATTCAGCAAATGAAGAGAAATCATTGAATGGACCACCCAGTAAGAAGGGGCTCTACTTTTGGGGGGGTCCCTTTAAAAGGCAAACCCCGAGCGCACGCTGGTCCATTGACAAAAATCACATGTGCAACAGCAAGCAAGTTGTCCTATTCATCTCACACTGGTGTCCACAAATACCTCAAACAACGGGGAGTCGTTGGAGGATTGCGCTTTCAGGGTATGCCCAAATCTTGACCAACAAGGATTGGGTAAAAGTAGAGCAACACAGAACCCGCCGCGGACCTGCTGGCTGTGAACAAAAGCAAACCCATCATCCATGTGGGTTCAAACGAACAAAACAAGCAGCCACTACAAACTGAGCTGACACTGGGTATTCAATAATTGGGGCTCTTGAAAACAACACAACACAAAACACGAATGGCTCTCTTTAGCTTCCAGTGCGTTATTCGCACCCAGAAAATGAGCGCCGGTCCCATAAACCCTGCAGGCCAGGCGCCACTTGCCATGGCAAAGGCTCAAGGGCTGGATAGATGGCGTGTTTGGCCCCCAAAGAAAGTCTCAGCCAACCTGTCGCTTGCCGTGGGTGGTGAACATGCAGCACTTTTCTGGGCAGATGGAATCAAACAGCTCGTTGTTTGTGGTAGAATCTGCGGCCAAAGTTCTGATATGCATGTGTGGCTTCGAGATCAGCGGCCTCCCGGTGAGGATGCGAGCAAAGCTGGAGAGAACAGGGATCCTTACATTATACATTATACACCTGAACATTGCAACTTCTAAATAATAAATAGAAAATTGTGGTTTCCCTTGATTTCGGTGTTGAAAAAGCCTGTAAATGGTGGTTTCCCTTTACTTTGGTGCTGAAAAAGCCACATGTTTCGCATGCTTGCAACATGGATATCTTTTAAGGAGCCCTGGAGAAAAAGAAGTAGTTCTGCTCAAAACCCGAACGGGAGCGGATACGAGAACAGCGGTCCCTTTCTTTAGCCAGCTCAATTGTGGGCCAATTTGGGCCATGGCTTTCGGTGTTTGGGAAACATAGGTGCATCCGCATTCGAAGCCCAAATCCTCCAACGGGACCTAGAAGCTGCAGACCTAGTGTTGGAACACAAAATGAAAACAAACAGAAGTCTTGAAATAATAAATCAACACCCCCATGACAAGCCATGTCAAACAGGTCGCAGAAATGCTGGCACAGGCTGCTTGCCCACTCGCCCTGGTAGAAGGGCACACCTTGTTTGGGTTTGGGGAAGCCGCCAAAAGGAACAAGGGCGCTGAGTGGAAAATTACGACATGGGAGTCGATCAATAATCCTGGCCGCCACATGACCATAGGAAACTTTTCTGGTTTTCCCCAATGATCCCAGGCAAAGGACCTTGTGATCAAGCCCCACTTGAAAGGTCATAGTTTCTTGTGGCGAAGGGCGAGATCTTTCAGCCCCAGAAATGTGTGAGCTCGTGTTGCGCAAATGGAGGGGGCCCGGTGTCCTCACGGTGGATGTCCTGATTTGCTCGAAACTTTTGCGTACCGCCGCGTGAAAGGATTCTTTCCAGAAACTTGCGAAGCGCGTATCCCTTCAAGTTAAACCAATCCGAGGTATAACAAAAATGCACCCCGTATCCTTCAAGTACACCAAACGGACGTTTAACAAAAATGCACCCAAACCCCCTTCCAAAGCCAGACATGCGGCCTGTCTTCTGCTTCCGTCGGGCGCAGCGGCGGATCGAACCGGCCGACGGGCCGACGGGCGGCGCGACGTCGCGCATCGTGGTTCCTTTGGACGGGGTGAAACCGCTCTTGCCACGCTGGCTGCGCTCGGAAGAACTGCCCTCACGCGTAAAAAAAAACAAAAAAACGGAAGAACTGCTCTCACGCGGGAAAAAAACAACTAAACGGAATGCAGGCTCCACAAAACTTGCAACTTGCAACTTGGGCCATTTCAGCAACTGGCGCATTTGCGCCTTACCAGGCGGGGCCCGGCGTGGCTCGTCTCGCACTGTCGCCGCCCATGCGAACTTGCATGCCCTACCTGGGAAAACGTGTTTTTGTCCGCTTACATGGTTTACCTCTTGTCCGCGGGACATGTATGGAGGGTCCTTTATACCAAGTCTGCCCTCCTTCCATGCATTCATGGGCGGGGATTGCAGGAAACCATAGGGGCGATCAGCACTCACAGCCGCCCAGCATTTGCTGGTGCAGCAACTCCGGGTGTGTCAGAAATCAGGGATCCCTCTTGCAGTGATGGTTCCGTTTTGTGGGTTACACTGGAACCCAGCATGGATTTTCCCCAGACCAGGGCAAAAATGCAACCCCTCCTGCGCAAATTGTGCAACCTACGGGTTTACCAAAATTGCCCCAACAGCTTCCAGTTGGCGTCCTTTAGCTGTTCAAATCCGAGTGAATCCGATTACACCCAAGAGGTCCCCCATTTCAGACAGGCCTATCTGTAATAGACAACGCACGCGCACGCACCGGTACAGTCCCGTTCCGGGCTGAGCTTGGCATGGGCGTGTTTAATGCAAAACCGCTCAACTTAGTCGTAAAACTGCTGTGATTGATTCCAAAGTGTTGGTCCAGATAAACCTTGGGACCTGGTTTCAACTAATCGACTGCCAACTTATGTAATCATGTAATGTACTCTACGTTCCGCATATACCCCCAGACAAATTGCGCACAACAAAGGACATTGACATATGGGTGTTCCTTAAAATCTGAGACCCCTCTGTGGTTTTCGTTCAAGTTTCCCTTTAGCAGCATCCAAAAGGGCTGTCCTCGCAACTCATGTCATGGCTCAGAATTTCAGTTGTGGAACCTTTGGTGATATCATTTCCATCGGGATGATGCACTCTCTAACCTCTTGTGAGGGCTTTCCAAGCAAAAGTCATAGCCATGTCAATCGTACCCTCTTACAAAGCATAGCCAGTAACATGCGTTCGTTAAATCTGCATGTCTGTACTAATAAAATTCTACCACGAGTCTAGAAAGTGTCATTTCGAGGGTACCAAGTCCTTCTCATAGCCATTAACACATAGAATGCTGGCAGCATGTTGAAGACATATCATGACTTTTGTCTGTTTCGTAGCCAGTCCTGCACACACCATGGACATTCTTACCAACCTTTTTTGATAAGTGAGTGAGTAAACAGGGATCCTTACATTATACACCTGAACATTGCCTAGTAAATGGTGGTTTCCCTTTCTTTGGTGGAAAAAGCCATACTTCAATTGGACAACATGTATCTTTTAAGGAGCCCTGGTAAATATGCCAAATTTATTGCTCATGCTTGCCGTGGAGCCTCTCGGGCCTAGCCAGGTGATACTGGGCCGACCTGTGTGGCTGGCCAATAAGACTGTTGGGAGGGTAGCCTTTTTGGGGTGGCTTTTGACGTGAAACCACCATAAAAACACACCATTTGTTTGGGCCTCCTAATTTGACTCATACCCTTAAGTGAAATGCTAACAGAGATCCCAGAAGCTCAGAGCAGAAACATCGCCCGCATCTCTCTCACGGATCTGCATCGATCCAGCGGATGCGCCGGCCGTCTGCCCACTCGCCTGCGAACTAAAAAAACATCACCCAAAGAGAAACTCAGACAAATCGGCTCAAACGGCAATGTGTAAACTGTGAAAACCACCTAGAAATCTGTGGTTCTGCTTGGGAGCGGGGAGTCCCTGAGGAAGCCAGCTTGGCTTGGAAGGGTACGAATCCACGGGCCTGATAGTTCCGCAACAGGCTTTGGGGAGGATCGTGATCAGAATGGGGCTTGGCTTGTGCTAAGTTTGATGGACTCATTCCCACGCCTGGAGCTGTGCAACAAACCATTCTTGAGAGAGCGTTCCAACCTTTGAAATTCACGGGAAACCTGTGGCAACAGGAACCCCCGAACAAATGCCTAACATGGCTCCTTGTTTCTTTCTTTAACGACCCACAGGCGGTTCACCCGCCCCGAAAGGGACCCATCCAATGGCAATCGGCTTCTCTGGCCCCTGCCTTTGCGCTCGTCACCACCTGCAGTGACCTGAATACAGAGGTGACGAACATGCAAAGGTTGCTACATGCTGACACTTGCCAAAGATACTTCAACGCGAAAACCAAGCAAACAATCAACAACACAACAAGCAAGCAAAGATAAGCAGGCAGGCAGCAAGGCAGCCAATAAGCCAGCAAGCAAGGCAGGCAGGCCCGCAGGCAGGCAGGCCCGCAGGCAGGCAGGCAGGCAGGCAGGCAGGCAGGCAGGCAGGCAGGCAGGCAGGCAGGCAGGCAGGCAGGCAGGCAGGCAGGCAGGCAGGCAGCCAGGCAGCCAGGCAGCCAGGCAGCCAGGCAGCCAGGCAGCCAGGCAGCCAGGCCAAGAAGCTAACACTAAGCCAGCAGAGAAAAGCAATATACATGGACAAATGTATATATATATATATAGTGTGCACACATACAGACGCCCGACGGGCTAGCTCTTTCCTTTGGTTTCCCTATGAAATCAACCGCCCCCAAAAAAGGGTACCCCTCAAAAAAACAGAAAACAAAAAAAAACACCCAAATCAGGAGACAGCCCCCCTTAACGAAAAACATGCCCTGGGGCTGCGACGTAGGTCCCGACACCGTGCTGCTTTCCTTCCTTCCTGGCAGTTCTCTCTGCGGCAAACAAGCGCAAATCAATATCAAACTGAGTAATTTCCTGGCGATGTGGCGAACGTGCCCAAGTTCATTCCCTTTCGTTGCTCCTTGTCACTCGTAAATGAGCCCAAAAAGGCCTCCAAGAAGTGGGATGGCTCGCCAACATAACTGCTTCCCTGTCGTTCAACTGGCCTTGGCTGAACATGACCTTTGGGCACATGAGGTTTCCTCTCGACGTAAGCAGAGGCGCCTAAACGTTGCGCATCGACGACCAAAGGTGTGTGCAGGGTTGCTACCTTTCACCGTTGACTCTCCCGCCCTCCAAGGGGAGGATATCCTTTGCAAAACAACAAGAAACACACAAATAAAAGGTGCTCAACCTTTGGAGTTGCAATTGAAGGAAATAAAATAAGTCAAACAAACCGACCAAACCAAGCCCGCAAGCACACACCAAGTTTAATGCTGAAACTGAAACTGCACCAATGCCACGGCCACACATCAATTCGCTACTGATTCGCTTCCGGGCCAATGATGTAAAAAGAGAGGAAGCCTTTCAAGAGCTGAAAGCGGAAAAGGAGAATCGCTGAACTGACTGCGACAAAGGGCAAGGAAGTTGTTTGTTCAGACACTGAATCCCAGGTCGAAGTTGCACGCACCTCTCAGTGACCAAGGTTTCATGGAAAGGGCGGTTTCACGTGGGTACTTTTGGTTTCCCTTGATTCTGGCAATCATATTTGGTGAACTTCATGTACACTAGTCTCAAACAGGTCTCTGTTTTGGGGATTGACCGTGTTTTGTTGGGAACCCCCCAAACATGTGCTGTGTTGAAAACGCACCAAACGAAAGGAGGTTGTCAAACATGCCGCAACTGGATCATACACCTCCATTTGCTGAAGTCCCCTGGAAAAAAATGAGAACATACTTCCAGCAGTGACACATCCCCTTTAAAACCAACCGGGGAAAAAAGAAACCAAACGTTTTTTTTCAGCAAATGGATCACCACGCACTCTCGGGGAAAAAACAAAAAAACATCGGGCACCGTCGCAAGCTGGTCAGGCCCACCACTGGCCCACGTACTTGCGTCCATCCGGCCAATTGAACCTCAGCGTCGCAACACGACCCCGGGCACCAAACCCTACTGTGGATGGACGAACTCCTGCACCACCTGAGAGACCCCGGAAGGATCATTGCCCTGTAAATACCAACAAACAATGGAAAGTTTCAACCATGGTTTCCAAGTGGTGCAGGATTTTGTCCATGCACAGTACCAACCCACCAGCTAACATGGAACCTGACGTTTCGGGGGGTTCTCGTTTGGACCATTGCCCTTCTGCAGGTGCCCCCTGTCAGGTTCCATGTTACTTGGCGAGAGGGTACTCTCATTTGCCCCCCTTTGGCACCAGAAACAATCCTCCCCAACCTGACTTTCTTGGGGAATGGACAGGCAGGGAGTGTGGACGGAAGAAACAACTGCTTGGGTCAGGATACATGCAACCCTGTAAACAATGGATAAACCACCAACCAACTGGTGCGGGATTTTGCCCCGCAGCATCATGATGTCACGGAAGCAAAGGTTGAGCCGTTGGCGTTTGCAGATTGCTGCGTCCCTCAAAGGGGACGAACTCGACGCTGGGTAAATTAGCAAAGGAACCTGCACAAGTGAGTTTGCTTTACCCCCAAAGCTCGCAATCACATTTTGCAAAACACTGCCCAAAGAACTGCCCGTGTCATGCAGCCGAGCCGACCAAACAGCCAAGCGAGCTTAGAAATCAGCCCGTGAGCTGCAGGCAAAGCTCCCAAGTTGCCCCAACCCTCAGCTTTTGAGCCTCCCAGAAAAGTGGGAACGACGTTGGGGAGAAAACGCAAGAACAACCTCCTTTAACAGGCCATCCACCATCATCAACCCATCCACAGCATACAGTGCATAATTCCCACTTATTTGAGTTTTCCACCTACCCACACACACTGGGCCTGGGTATCCTGCCATTTGGTTTCCTCTGGTGTATTTCCCCGCAGGTACCCGGAATTGGTGTGGCTTGAAACAAAAGAACATCCGCGCCACCAACTCACCCCGGTTCTTCCCACAGCAAGCCCCGCATTTTTGGCGCGGATGGGGCCCCCACGTGCCGAAGCCGTCCTTCTGGTCATTCTTGTACTCACCCTCGTAGGAGCGGCCGTCCACCCAAGTGAAGTGCCCTTCGCCTCGGATCGATCCACCCTGAAACTTGGCCCGGATTCACCACCATTTCCCGTGCAGTCCCCATATTTCAACACAGCACCCCGATGTACTCAGCCTGGAAACGAAAGGTTAACCTTTTGGGACCTTTACTTAAAGTGGACCAACATGGAAAACCAAAAGGTCGGGCCTTGGACAACTGAAAATATTCAAGCCAAATTTAAACCAGCAGACACTGAACTCTATGTGCAAAGTCTGCCAGTGTGTTGCATCGACATCCTTTTGGGCTTGACAAAGTAGGCCGTAAAGCAAGGTTTCGTAGAGTCCGGAAGTGTAGTGTCAACTTGTCTGAGGCTATCCTTTTCACCTTGGCTCAAAGAAGAAAATGGACAACACCAATTTTGGGGTTCCTGCTATTTTGAGACTCTGAATCACACCAATTTCAAGAGATCCTACATCTGGCTGAATCCAACAATTCGGGATCTCCGAAAAGAAGCTTTGTGGGCAATACAAAACACTTTCTTTGCCAGGTTGGCAAATACCCTTCCCTTTTGGATGCCTAACCGTACCTCAGCCCCTAACCCCTCAGCTGTGGGGAGGTCTTGGAGGTGGGTTGAAATAACAACCTCGTGGACAGCCCTTACATCCTTATGCCCTAGTATCGGTCAGTATCGGTTCTTTCCTCAGCATCAGTTTGCAGTGCTTTGGCAGCTCTAGCTGGAAAGTCGCAACTTTTCAGCACAAGTGTAGTGCAGTCCAGCTGGAAAGTCGCAACTTTTCAGTACAAGTGTAGTACACAAATTACATTTTGGCAGCTGCAGCTGGAATGTCGCAACTGCTCAGTAGTATACGCAGTGCACTTTGGCAGCTCCGGCTCGAAAGTCGCAGCTTTTCAGTGTAAGTAAGCGTAGTATACTGTAGTTTACGAAGTACATGTTGGCAGTCCAGCTGGAAAGTCACAACTTTTAAGTTCAAATGTAGTGCACGAAGTACATTTTGGCAGCTTCAGGGAAGGCTGCAGGGCGGCTGGTTGGATTCGGCATGGCGGCTAATGAGTTGGGTATCGGTTGGGCATTGGTTTGGGTACCGGTTTGGGCGCTGCAAATGTTTGATTCCGCAATCTTGGTCTGTGACATTTTTCCTCAGTATCGGTTTACAATGGTTTTGGCCTGCAAAACAAGTCAAGGGACGGCCCCTTACATAACGAAAAGGCGCGGGGTTGTTTTTCAGCCCAGGTGGGATCAGTGAAACATATAGAAGCAGGGCCAGGCTCTGGGACTGTGCAAAGCTTTCATCCAAACTCTGAAACAAGCAATCAACTATTGGCTTCCCTGCGGATAAACAACATTGTAACATCCATTTCGCAGCAGTTGGGATTGGTGGTTTATCCCCTGATGGACAACATCCATTTCGCAGCAGTTGGGATTGGTGGTTTATCAACCCCTATCTATATAGGGCTTCATCTATCCCAAGTGGCGTCCATCTACAGTATGTCCCTTGCAAAAAAAGGCCAGAAAAAGTGAAAACAACACACACACACACACAAACAAACAACAAAAAAACGCTTACACCTTCCTGGCAGCCGCTATGTTGGCATATCTTGTCGGCAGAACCCTCAAAATTCACACACACACCCACACACTTTATTTTGAAACATCCCTTTATTGGCATATCTTTTTGGCACAAACCTCAAATATCTGCATCAGTATTCGCACAACGCTTCGTAGCAACTATCCTGTTGGCACAAGCCTGCATTTCATCGGCGTATCTGTTTAGCACAACCCCGAAACTGGCGTATCGTTGTAGCACAACCCGCCCTTTTGGAATATTTGTCACGACCCTTTTGTTTGGACTCTTTTTGCACACCCTCTATTGGCAAATATTTATGGCACGACCCTTTATTGTGGCATCTGCGTTGCTTGGCACTCTATCTGGCAAACCTATCTGGCAAACCTATCTGGCAAACCTATTTGGCAAACCTATTTGGCACAATCCTGCATATTGCCAGATCATGCTATTTGGCATCTGTTTCAAACACTCTTAACAGGGATCCTTACATTATACACCTGAACATTGCCTTGTACATGGTGGTTTCCCTTTATTTTGGTGTTGAAAAAGCCATGTCTCAAATGGGCAACATGTATCCTTTGAGGAGCCCTGCTTAACCCAACCCCCCCCCCCCCCCCCGGGCCGCTGAAGTGGCTCCGGTGGGACGTGGGGATCTTGCTGAGGCCAAGGCCGTGCATGCGGTTCTTCACCCATTGGCCCTTGAACTTTCGGCCATCGCCCTGGCCAACTGGCGGCTGGCCTTCCCCAAAAGTCGGGGAAATCGAATCGGCAGGTGCACATAGGTGCCCTTTTTGGATTGGTTTGGCGAAAAATAGATGGCCCGGGTGTAGATGGGTCTCCTTCCATTTACCAGGGCCATCTGGCTGTGGTTGTCAAAACCGCTTTGGGATCCCATTTTGGTTTGTAGGTGAATTCACCACCCATTTCAGGCTTCCTATTTTAGTGGTTGGATTGGGTCCCGTTCACTGGGGGCTAACCGATGTGGATTTTGACCCATGGCCAACTGGGTCTGGGCGGGGTTCCGAGGGCAAGCCACTTGGAAGACCCAACAGTCGTTCCGACAATGGAAGTGCACAAATCGGCTTGTTGCAAAGATAATGCTCCTTGCTTTTTGTTCGGTCTCCTCGTAAAAAGCTAGCCAGGCGAAACCAGACCACGTTTAAAGCAGGTGCCAAGGCAGCCACAACGTCTCCTTGTGCTATTGGTGGGGGGGGGGGGATTCAGGGTTCGAGCAAAGATCAAGAAGCTGTTTCTTGTTTGGCTTGGCTTTTCCACCCTACAAAAAGTTCAACTCTTCCTAACTAGCGCGGAAATAGTCATGTACCAAAAGGCCAGCAGGCCTCTGATCAAACCAAAGAGCAATCAAACAACCAAGTAATGGATCAATCAACTAAACCTCGCGCCCACACCTTGCTTTTCAATGAGCCCCAGATGCTAAGAGAGCCTATTCAGGCGCCGCATGTCCCTTTTCGAGTTCTGTTCCCGGCACAAGGGCACACGCAGTCCACCCTCAGATTGGCTGGTCCCTGATGGACCACGCTTTTCGTATGAGCATCTTGAAACAAAGACCCCTTTGGTCAACGCGAAAGCGGCCCTGGCGAAATTGGCAGCACCTCCATCTTTTGGAGATGGGAAACCACAGCCCTCCCACCTTCCGCAAAGAAAGCGGCTGCTCAGCAATTACCCACCCATGTCTGGGCCTTAGATTGACGCGTTCAGTGTTCACCTCACTCTTGCCACACGAGCCATGGTCATGGCTTATGTGCGCCATGGGTCCCTCCTTGAAACTCCGCATATCTCACAATAGCTACAAAGAATCAAGTGCCACTTTGAGGAGGCAACCATCAATCCCATTCAGCTTCCATCAGCTGGTGGTTTGGATTGGTGGTTTGGTGGGTAAGGGGTGGTTTCCCATTTAACCTTCACAAGAACCAGGAGTCCAAATCCCCCAACCAATCCAGTTAAGGGTAACCTTGACTAGGGCTGGCTAAGCGAGCGAGTCAGATCCTTGCAGTTCCCCAAGCTCAAACGCACCCCGCGCCCATTGATAGACGCCCACGCCGTTGATGTCGTTGTCCACGAACTCGCCCTGCCAACCACAACACGGGGACGACTTGCGGAATTGGGGTCAACTGAGTACGCTTTTGGGGTTCGTGGAAAAAGGGCATCCCCCTTGTAATGGGAACCCCGGATGAAGAAACCCATTTGGTTGATTCGGCCGAAGCGAGGGGCCTCTGGTTCTATGGACAATGCTCTTGATAGGGAAAGGGGATAGGGAAAACGGATAAAACGGATGACCTTGCACTTAGCGGGTTTGCTTCAAGCGAAGGCGGGGCGTGTGTGTGTGTGTGTAGATGAGAGGTGTATTAGGGACATTCACCCCATCAAACTGACTAGACGCCCACCCCGGATTTCAGAAGAAGCTTTCGAATGCCAACGCGGCCTTTCCCCCCAAAAAAAAACAGTCCAAAATGCCTGTTGAAATGGGACACTCTCTCTGTTTCTCGGCTAGGGATTTGTGAATCCTGGGCTCCCATTTTCTGGGAAGGACTGGGAAGGCATGAGAAAGTGTCAACACTCAAACTTCCATGTTTTGGGTATGGCTCTGCAAACTCGGGAATCCACCTGGGGATCTATCTGGACCAATCCCTCGCGACACTCGCCTCGTACATGGACCCATCTGACCAGGAGAAGTGGCCCTTGCCGCTCTTGCGGCCCGCCTCGCGTTGCGAGAGAGCGAGAGAGAGAGAGGGGGCAAACAAAGGGTTGTCTTTTGAACCCTTTTGGGGCTGGTGTAAAGGGAACCAAAACGGAACCAACCTAGTTTGGAGGTTCCCCTATTTTGAGACAAACCCAGATAAAAAGACTCCGTCATGAATTATTCTGCAGTCAGAAAGAAAGTGTTCTTTTGGAAATTGGGTACTAAACTTGCCGACAGGTGCCTTGGCCGCTTCTCTGATGAGTCTATGGGCAACATCCTTTGTTGCCCAAGAGTGCGACAATTGGGTTTCCCATAATTTGTTCATTGTTCTTTCTTTTTCGTTTTGGGCGGAGGCATTTGGGTTGTCACGCCCTTCTTGTCCTCCCAGACCAGACCAACGCTAGACAACCTTTTTCGTTTGTAAGTTGCTCACAGGCAAGGAGGTCTGAAGGTGGGGAAATCACGGCACAGGTTTTCTTGTTTTTTGGGGGGGTGCGTATGTCGGGGTGGCAGGAGCATGTTATGGCGTGAAGGCCGTTGTCCTTGCTCGCTACTTTTTTGGGGGCAGTAGTGAAAGCCAAGCAACACGAACCAACGAGTTCAGATTAAGGCATTGCACATTTCCAACCTTTGGCATGTTGGCGAAATCAAGAAGTGCGGTGTTTGCAGTCCACACGCTAAGATGATCGGCACCAAACAAAGACTATAGACTTGACTAGAACGCATGTCAGAAACAGTGAATCAACCTAGATTTTGGCATAAGCCAAATCTAATTGAAAAAATATGATAATCATGGGTGAATTTGTTGCCACCATTTCGGGCGAACTTCACAGCTTCGTTTGCCCCCAAACCGAGGCCCCAGCTTCGTATTCGCCCTCGTACTTGGCACCTGAGGCACGGCCATGTCCGTTTGGAGAAAACCCCAGCCAGGCAAATTGAATGGATTGGATTCCCCACCTAAGACAGCTCCTGAGATCGGACCGGGGGATCCGTGTTGATTTTGAGAACCAGCGCAAAGTCCCTGACTCGAAAATGTATGTTTGCCTTGGAAAATCAGGTTCTACCCAAAATATGCGGGTCTCGGTATCATTTCGATGGGTTCCCATTTGTTCGGGTCCATGAGATGAATCCATATCCAAAAAACACAACGGATGTTCGAAAAAGGGGCCAGTCTTAAACACCTTCAACCAATCAAAAACACACACTGGCACACACACACACACATATATATATATATATATGTATATATGTATACAACTACACACACACACACCTCTCTCGCTCGCTCGCTCTCTCTCTCTCTCTCTCGCTCTCTCTCTCTCTCTCTCTCTCTCTGTCTCAGCATCGTGCCATCCGGCCAGATCTCCATCCCTTGCCTGGGATCGCGGCCAAGCCCAACTCCGGCTGACTTTTGGGTCTAAACATAGCTAAGGTTCGAAGAGGGCCTATAACCCCCCCATGGAACCAGGAAAAGCAGGTCCCAGGTGGAACCGACCAAACAAAACACGCGAAAAAGGGGCGTTGGGCGCTCGCATGGAACCTGCAAAAGGCTCAGATCTGGGTTTCATTGCTGAGCTCCAGGTATATCGGTCAACTCACATGAGAAAATCGGCAATAATTCCACCAGAAGGGTAGAATAATTGTCATTTGCCCGGCAAAACCGATTGGGGCCTACCCAAAAGTCCGATACCTTGGTGCAACGTTGGCCATTCATAAGTCCAGGGTGTACTGATGCTCTTGCAAGTAATGAACTAACCCGAAGTACGCTCCTCTGAATATTGCTTCAGTACACCAAGCACACACACCATGGTGTGAAGAATTGGGCATGTCTGTGTTTGAGGGTATTTACCCATTTTGGGTTTGGCTTAAAGGGAAACTATAGGGGACCAACCTTTAAAATGGCACACCCATATATATATATATATGCAGGGGGTACCATATGTATATATATATATATATATACTTCGATAATCAGCCTAGGAAGCTCACTTTCCCTACGGATCCCGATGAATTTCGGGCCCTCAGTCTGCGTGTGCGTTTTTGCCTGGGGCCTGTCCATACGAACCCCGAGGACCCTTAAGGTAACAGGGCCCAGCAGGCGAGGTTTAAACCATTCTGTCAAGAAGCCTATGCTGGACAGTCATGGGAAACCTGAAATCCAGGGCGCCATCAGCAATGGGTCAACCTCGTGTTTAAACATGGCACCTCCCTTCAAAGGCAAGGACCTCTTAGCCATCAGGTACTAGCTCCTGGTTCAGAGAGTCATCCTGGGAGAATTCTCTCCTCGGAAGGGTTTGAATTCCTTCAGGCAACTCACTACAATTTTGTGGCTTTTCCTTGCCTTCGCTGGTTCCATTGTTGTCTCTGGCACAAGAGAAAGCCTTAAGATACGGTCCCATCCATCAAGGGCACGTGTTCCACAGTTCCCCTTGGTGGCAAATGGACATCATGTATGCCATCAGCAGTACATGTCCCATGGAAGGCGTTTGTGTCAAGCCCGCGCAAACTCGGTTCGGACACATGGTCAATGTGGGGTTCGCGATATGGGCCGAGGGTATGCACCAGTCAGAGGGGAGCCATCAATAGATCCTTTAAAATCGATGAGTTCCTTCACGTCGCGTTTGCGACATTTGAATAAACAATAGTTCCCAGTGGCTGTACTCCAACTGGCATTTGCAGCTTCCTTTCAACCGCCTCGCTAGGGGCCCTTACTTTGAGAGCCCTGAATGTGCAATAGGTGCAAGCTATGGAAAAGGTCTTGCAGAAAAAGATAACGGTGAACCGAGCCCGCCCAGTTTGCGAGGCAACATGTCAGAAGCACCCGGGGGATCACAATATGTCACGAACACGTGGCATCAAAGTGTCAACCAAAAACATATGGGCGTGTCGGTTTTTGAGGTTGGACCCCAAATGGGTCGCTTTCCTTTTGGCTTCCTTTTAAAACCACCCCACAAGGGGTTCCCAAAAACAGTTTGTTTCCTTCTAGTTTCCCTTTACGGGTCCATGTTGAGAAACCCCCATTGTCCATCTGCACTATAGGCCCCTGGAACAATATGACTATTTGCAGTAGTGATAGATTCCTTTTAAAGGCAAAATTCTAGGGGTAACTTCCATTTCCATTCTTTCCAGGGATCCTTCTTTCTAGACAACCACCGACAAACAACCTTGGGGAAATGGCGATCGGTTTTTGAAAAGAACGATAGCTGAAAAGAATGGACAAGGAATCAACCCCTAGAAAAGTAGGAAAATCACAAATACCCTCCTGTCCATTAACATGGGACTGAGGGGTCCAAGATAATTTTCATTGATTTTCCCTTTAAAAGGCATTTTTAGGGTTCCATGTTAATGGACAGGAGGGTATGATGCAGCAAATGGAAGCCACAGGAATCCACGGGAACGGCCCGAGGCCGGGAACGAGAGCCCGGGAGCCGAGCCCATGCTGCTTGTCGTCCGCCTCAGGGCACGATCAGTCGCGTTGTCTGCAGCCGGAGTCCGAACGGACCTGCGAATTTCGCCCAGAAAAGTGGGACCTATTCAAACAAATAGAAACGAAAGTGTCGCAAGTTGCCAAAATTCATTTTGGAGTTCAAGAGTAGCAAGGATAGTGAAGGCCACTCATTTTGGGACGCAAAGCTGAAAACCAGTGCCAGGGCAAGAAAGGTGTTTTAAGCCCCTTGAGGATGCAACGTTTTGGAACCCAGTAGGAACAAAGGGGCCGGTGTTGATAATCGACGGTGCCCTTTGAACAGGGACACCCTGGATTGTTTGAAGGGAAACCAAAAAGACCGTCGTCATCTTCAGGCCTCCCCCCCAACCCCAACCCCGACCCGAAGCCCCCCCCCATTCCAAACACGACTCAAAATCGCAATGCAATCAGCTGTCGGCCCCTTATGTTGAAAGCCAAAGGGCGCTTGGCAAAGTGGGTGGCAGAAACTAAGAGTCCAACACAGGGTGGTTTCCTCTTGGCTTCCCGTCGCCATTCACCAGCAAGGGTGGCTTCCTCTTGGCTTCTCAAAACCATCCACTAGGAGAAAGGGCAGTGGCCTGTGTACTTCCCTGAAACCACTCTGCCAATGGGACCAAAATCTAAGTCTTGCAAAAAAGGCATGTCTTCTCTTGGCACCCAAAAAAGGCTGGCTCTGTGCCGGGCCGGTGTTCACACAAACGGCGGCTTCGGCTATCAGAAGGGCCCCCGGACCCACTGGCCCTCGTATCTCGAGCCATCGGCATGGTGGTACCTGCAAGCGGGTCTGCCCCACAAATAACTGCGTGTCAACGGCCGTGGTGATGGCGTGGGAATATTTTTCCAAGTACCGATGCACCAAACAGGAGCTTTGACGGCACACATGCTCCTAGGTCAAGGTCAAAACCTGCGTTGGGCAATTTTTGCTGAAGCCACCACCACCCGGTTTCTTTAAAAGCAGTCTAAGGTTGCTTGAACAAGGGGTTGCCCCAACCCCTTTGTCAAAACTCCTTAAGCCATGGGCCATGGTTCCCTTAGTCGGGATCTTTGTCACGCTTGTCTATATTTCCTATGACGCCAAGCGGGAACTGCTACAATTCCCATGTCTCTGCCAAATGCAACAAAACTACTGGATTTGACTAGTCCACTTTCAAAAAAAAGGCTTTGTCTTTTTTGGGGAACCTCCTATTGGCTGGCTTTTAAAGGGAAACAGGGAGAAACGAAGCCATTTCCAGTACAGAGCCTCGCCAGGCTGCTAGGGAACCTGAAAAAAACACACATCCATCTCTAGAGGAATCGCTTGGCTTGGATCCTCCTGGGTTCCGTGCCATCCGAGGAATGACAACTAAACCTACAGCCATGTTTGCTGCTTTGCCGGTTGCCATATGCCCCACTTTCCTCCCCCCCCCAAAACAAACAACAACGGGCGGTTGGCGCACACTCCGTAACCGTGGGCCTTGTCAGATTTCCACTGGCCTTCATAGACCTGAGGGGCGCTCGAACGCAAAACTGACCTAAAGTGATGTAAATTTGCCGCCTCTGTGAGGTAATCATGAACAACGGACCAAACCACTTGTTTCTCAGCAAGGGACGACATGTACAAATTGGGTGGTCCCCTGTTTGTTGTGCAGGAGGTAGGGGTGTCCCCTCCGCGCCCTCATCAAACAACAGGTACCAATCATGTCATTAGTGACTCACATCCTTGCCCAGTTGGCATCTGGAAAACTGGGGCCGCTTTTGCAACTGCAATCTACCCCAAAAACAGTAAACAAAAGAGCTTCATCGCGGTGAGCTCGCAAGAACAGCGTTCGCACGTGGAGGGAGGCCGGGGGGCAACGGGGGTGCAAAGCGGCTCGTTCATCGACAGCTACCAAAAAGGGGATTCCCCCCCCTTCCCTTCCCCAAAAAAAAAGGAAAGAATGAATAAGCTCAGGTGACATTCCCAACAGCATGTGGTGCTCTTTTTAGTGCTCGCACCACCCCGCAGCCCTCGCAGCCCTCGCAGCCCTCGCAGAACCTCGTGGAACCCTGGTGGAACCCTGGTGGAACTCCTGGTGGAACCCTGGTGGAACCCGGACCATTCCAGAGCCTATCTGGGCTGAGACCCCAAAGCTTTCAGCCGTTGGGGAACAAACACATATGAAAATGGCGGCCGCTTCTCCATGCTCGGGCTTCAAGGGCCCGGCGTCGCCGTCCACATGCTCGAAGCGGCCCTTGCCGTGGGCCTTGTCGTTTTCCTCGGAGATTTGCTGGGCGCCTGAAAAGATGACCTGAAAACACGACCGCTTACAACATGCCTTAAAACGCTGACCTTGAAATATGACCTTAAACTATGACCTCAAAACACGACCTTAAAATGTGACCTTAAAATATGACTGTATGACTGTATGACCTTCAAACATGACCATGCCATTTGGCCACTCAAACATGACTAGCATGACCACTCAGAGGATACCCAAAGGAATCTCCGTAACCCTTTTTGAGCTTGGGGCGCCTCGAAACACAAGGCTCCTAGCGCAACCGGTCTTTGTGGTTCCGCATTAGCTTTCGGGAAGGTAATCAATCTGGACAAATTATACTAGCTCGCCGACCAAGCATCAGAAATGGGTGTGTCTTTTTTCTTTGTTTTTTCGAGGGTGCCCTTTTTTTGTGGTTTCAAAGTCCCTAGAAAAGCACACACACACACACCCAAATCAACCCCCAAGGCAAGAACCTTCACTTTGGGTGCCCTCGCAATCCTTTCAGACTGGTTCGTAAGTGGGTTGTAGCCCACGCTACGTATACTTGGGGTTACCTAGGCTTGATTACCTAGGCTTGACTCCCTTGGATGCAACCTACTAAGTGGGTTTAACATCCAGGGCATGTGGGTATAACACCTCCTTCAGTTCGGTCTTCCCTGGAAATGGCCATCAACTCTAGCCCCCACAACATATGGGCCAAACCACCGAGAAAATCAAAACAGCGCCCTTGGGCGACCTTGAAGGGTCCTGGACATGTTTCGTCCAAACTGATTGCTAGCGTTCCTGTAACGAGCGAGTGATCGGCCGCCACACTGGGCTGCTCCAAATGGAGAGTCAGGTCAGGACTTGTTGCAGAATCAAAGTGCACTTTAAACGGGACCTCAACAAACAAGTGTCCTTGAGTAGTTGTGTTACGACCACCCGCACTTGGAAGCAAACCCAAAAAAAAGGTATCCAATGGTGGTCCACATTCCCTATTGGGAAATCTTGCGGGCTTTCATTGAGCAAACCAGAAAGTAAAACGGTAAACCCGCCTCCCTTGTTGGCAGGACGTTGCCTTGTTGTATGTCGAAGAACATCTCTATCTCGTGTAAGGTGTCTAGCTTTGAAGACATCTTTTTGTCAACCAAACAGGGCGTCAAATTCGAACCTGCCTTTGTTCTAACGGTTTGTCGCCCCACAGTGCTCCCATTTTCTCACAACAAACTGATGTCACAAGGATGGATCATGTTCGTGTCTCCCAGAGACGGGTTACAGTTCTTTCCGCTTTACCATCCTAAGACCAAAAGTCAGCTGAACCGGGCGCTCAAGGGGACCCCCAAAATGGTGGGTCTTCCTTTTGGTTCTCCTTTCAAGAAAGAAACAGGGCGCCAACTCCAAAAATTGACACCATGGCCCGGCTTTCCTTTAAAGGGGCACCCCTTAAATGCCATGGCCCTCTCCCGGTCTGGAGCCCCCGGCCCAAGTGCCAGTGTACCGGGCGCCATCAGGCCATACCTGAACAAATCCTAAAGATATCAGGGCTCGAAAGGGCGAGGTTTGTGACGTCTGGCCATTTCCGGTGCGGAAGGGGGATTGGCACAGGGCCCGAATCGAGGCCCACATGCCTGCAATTGCACGTTACAACCTCCTTAGGTCGAAGAGCACGACCTGTGTCCCGAAACCCAATGAGCTTGTCCAGCTGAGCGGCCGTGCCCAATGACTTTCAGTACTGTTGTGGAGGTTTATATTGGCCTTAAGACAAGGCACGTGAAACCAGTAGAACCTCCTGCTCAAAAATTGCCAGGGCCAATGGGAAACTAACATAGGTGGTTTCCCTTTGGCTTCGTTTTCAATCAGCCCCATTTGCGTGTGGTACCCACGCACATTGAGTTTGTGGTTTCCTTTTGGTGTCTCAATTGTTGTTTCATCTTTCGGGCGTGTACGACATCGCTCAAATCGGACCAATCTTCATTCTTCGGACGAGCGTGATTCACAAGGTAAGCTCGTTCATGATTTGAAGACTATCATTCCCCTTATGATTTGAGTCAAAACCGATCGGTTTTCATGGATCATTTGGTACCCTGGGTTGGTTTTCGCGCCGACTTTGGAGAGGGCCCCCGAAGAAGGTGTATCACAGATGTGTGAATCTGTTGACATCTGTAGCACACACTTACCGTGTTGGCTCCTGCATCTTTCATCATTCTCTCGGCATACTGCACAATCAAATTTGTCCTACATGATCCCGTCTTCATACCCTACTTTCGCTTAAAGTGAACTGGTGCGAGCAAGGGGTTCGTGCAAAAACTCGAGGTTAGCCGAACTCCTCCGCTCCGCTGTGCACCGAAAGGTCGGCCGATCCACTGGGATGCCCCGCTTGCTCACCTTGACCGTGTCGAGAATTGCCTTCGAACGGGTGATATTCGTCAAACCGTCAGGTCTTCAGTGCTTCCCATGTGGGAGAAGAGGGGAGAGACTCCCTCAACCGGATGGTGGAAAAAAAGGGACCCGACCCTCTTTTTCAGGGCTGCCATATTCCCAACGTTAAAAATCACCCCACAGAACAGCGGCTTCTTTTAGGCATTCATATGGCCTATTTGGTATCCTCTGATTGGAAGCCATTCCCAATAGTGTGTCCCGTCCCTACCAGCCCTTGGCTTTATATGGCCATGGGGCATAACCTATGGCTCCATTTGGGGTGGATGAACATCCATTTGCCACCTATTTTGATGTTCACCAGGGGTACAGGGTTTTGACACACAGCCATATCAGAAAACAAGGGCTTGTAAGGGAGCCTGGCTTGATCAGCCCTGTGCGCTGGCACATGTTCCGCCCATTCGGGAGAGTAGAAATTCGGTCCCTGCCTGGCCCAAAAAAAAAAAACATGGATTCCTAATACACCCATGCAGCGGAGTCTCCACTGTTTGGAGCTTCCGTTTGCTTGGTCAGAGGACAAGCCATGCAAAAGAAACATGCGTTGCATTGCCTGACAAGCCGTGTCGTCAAGACAGGTCTGGAATATTCAGACATGTATGCACACAACTCATCTGCTGAATTGACTGGCCAGAACAAGTTGGAACTGCTTGGTTTTGACTGAAAGGATAAACTTACACCGTTTAACAGGCAAATCCAGTGTCTGACATACCAAATCTAACCTGCGTTCCAAATTGGGGTCCGAGGTCCCCCGAAAGGAGACTTCCTCATGAAGGTTTTGGGGCTCCACGTTCATCAAGGGAGTAGGTGCTAGTTAGCACGGCTTACAGGTCTTCACAAGCTTCGGGGGAGCAGGGAAAGAAATACTGTGGGTGGACAAAATCTAATGGGAAACCATTGTTTGTTGGTATTTATCAGGGAATCATCATGCCGGGGATTTTTAGGTGGTGCAGGATTTGGTCCACCCACAGTATGTGAGTTGAATCATGATCCAGCAGCCAAGAAGGAATGGGCCTGCAGCCACCTTCATGGGTCCCGCGCCGTTCTTTTTGGACCCCGCCCCCTCCCGCCTGCCCACTCTCCAGTATAGGTGGCGCCGTTCTCAAACCTAGCGGGGCATCCCGGAGGGCCTGCCCTAAATCCATAGCGAGCCCAGCCGGGGAAACCTCTGGCCCCAGCATGTTACAATCAAAGCCACCCCCCAAGTTGGTACGCTCAAGGGGCACGGCAGTTGCGGACTTTGATAAACCCCAGAAACCGCCAAACTCATGGCCCTAGTTTCTTGGGGCGTCTTTCGGTTGGTCCGAACCACCCCCACTTACCTAAGCTTGATTGCGGGCAACGGCAGACATCCGAAAGAAAAGGAGTGTCTGCTGGCTCAGGGTTGGAAACGTTCAGTTGGAAGTTGGCTCCTGGGTTGGTAGCAATTTTGGTGGCTTGGCCAGCAAATCTCGGGGTGTTGCACCTTGCGCCAGCTTGCAAAACGTAGACAAGGGCCTCGGCGCAGCCAGCTTGCAGAGCAAAGCCTGTCTCCAAATCGGAACACCTGAATATATGCATATAACGTGTATATATATATATATACAAATATAGTCATAATATATTTCTATATACACACACATGTATATAGTATAATATATATATACACATACACGCTCAATACTTCTAAGCAATGAATCTTACACATACTGTATACTCGCAGCGCATGTGACGTGCCATTGGCCGAAACGTCAACTTCGTGAGGTCTGTGACACTCGGGTGGTGTGGATTATGGGGGGAGGTCCTGAGAGCCCGTGCTGCGTACAGCTTTGACCCCAGGGTTCAAACCCCAAAGAATGGCAAGGGCCCAATCGGAAGATGAGAATCCTTAGGCCAGCAATGGTGGTTGCATGAACCCAACCATTGATTTAATGGCGTCAGAGTGATGCATGTGTGTGTATAAAAATATAAATATGTATAAACTTAATTTATATAAATATGTATATAAATATATAAATACACTATGTATATATGAAAATGTCTCGCCAGTTCCTTCCCGGCGCCCGGGCTGGTGCGCCCCCCGCTTCTCTAGCTTGCCATCCAGGAAGTTGCCCTCGCGAACTCGGTTTTGGAGGGAAGCGGGAAGCTAAAGGGCCACCACCAAATGGGTGCCACTTTTGGGGGGTTAAAACACCATCATTTTTGGGGTCCCCTAATCAAAAGTGATACAGTATCTATTTCAAACTTAGACTGGAGTAAATAAATACTAACGAACGCAAACAACCAAATGGGCGCCACTTTTGGGGGCTTAAAAGGGAAACAAACAGGAAAACCATCATTTTTAGGGGTCCCCTGAAAAAGCTGGAGTCTATTTGGGTACTTGTCTAAACAGCGGCACATGATTTCGGGTTTCCTGCGCGGTTTCCCTTTCATGGTGCAAATTACCCAAACAACACACTCACAGACTCATGCAGTGAATTCCGGAGGACCGGAGGACCAGAGGACCATACTCCCAGCTTAAGCTCCCGGAAGATAAGTTTGGAAGAGCCCGTCACGATCACAGGTTCCGTGGCAAAGCTCAGGTGAACTTGGCATGCATCCAATCAGAGGAATCCCGCCATCACTTTCAGCATGGCTCCCTCTTGGCAGATTTGCATTACTCATGTCTGCACACTTGTTGTGTTTTATTTGTAAGTGCATCTTTGTTTGGGAGGATGTGGAGACTTGCAGCCATTGCAGCATTCTCAGCTGAACAAATGAAACAGTCGTCCGAAGTCCACACCTTTCGCCGGGGAATGCTAGAGCAAGGCTCGGGTTGGACCATCTACAGTCATCTAGTGGGCTGCCTAGACTGCTCCGACTCCCCCAAAGTTGAGTCGGGAAAAGTCAGGACACCAGAGGCAGAAATGGCCGAAGGGCCAACAAGGCCGGGTAATTACCTGCACTTTCATGGCCTCATCCTTCTTCGGCAAAAAAATCAAATTAAGGTTTCAATCGTTCGTTCAAACCAAAGATACGAATTGGATCCCCGGATCCCCAAAAGGACCTTCTCAAACTGGACATCAGGGGACCTTGCCAGTAAGCCCCTTTGTCAGTTCGATCGCCTTTTACCTCCGGATCGGCGGCATCGCTGGTGGTTCGACAGCACCCGACCAGGACAGGGGCAATGCCACAGCTGACCTCTTGGAACAATAGATGGATTTCCGTGGTAAATGGATGGCAAAAAAACAAAACACATCCAAACCAGTGGAATCAATCTATTTCTGACCAAACTAACCGATCAAAAGGACAAGAAAAAAGGCAATGCGTTCCAAACCCGCGCTCAGCACCCAACCCGCGTGCCTCAATGGCATTGCCTTCTGCACCGGTGCAGAAGGTGCAGCCGCCGCTATTCGCCCTCGGTGATTGGCGTCCCGTTCCAGAAATGCATGGCTGGCTCGCCTGTTTTGGGCGGTACCCTGTTTGGGGTTGGTTTAAAGGAAAACCAGCAGGAAAACCTGTTTTTTGGGGGCCCTAAAGAAAGACACACTCCAAAAGGTAAAGGGATGACCATTGGCTGGAAAACCACTAAGAAGATATGTCCCACACCCAAAAGTCATTTGGAGATTCCCTATGTTCAATTTAGGCGCCCTGGCTGATTCTGTGTCCCCTAGGATTTATCACTACCTTTGGAGGGAACACCCCCCAAAAAAAAAGATAGGACAGGTTGTTGATGTGGGGTCAACATTATAGGGCCCCTCACGGTTCGATGAGAACTCGATCAGATCTCCCAAAGGTTCCTTCCCAAGGTTTGGGGGGGGGTGGGATTGGTTGATTTGCTGCAAAGGGGTCGACCCAAAAGCCGTGTAAAAATCCCTGAGTCTGAAGAACAGCGCTATGATTGTGGCGTGTCCGCCAGGAACCCAAGTTGCAGATCCTTTGCAGATTGATATGAGTGTCTCGTTTTTGAGGGTACCCTTGTTAGGGATGGTTTTAAAGGGAAGCCAACAGGACACCCACCATATGCTTGGGGTTCCGTTATTGTGACGCGCGTCAAACATCGCTATGCTGGTTACAAACATATTCTAGGCATCTAGGTGAATTTCAAAACTTCCAGGAGACCGAATTAGAGTCCAGCAGGCAGACAAATCAGAGTCCAGCGATCCCTCTTCACACGTTTGATAGAGGTTTGCTCCCTTCGGGTGCTTTGAGAAATCTGTGATCCGTTCGTTCTGAGGCATTGCAGACTGAAAGAAAGCCCTGTTGGGACGTGCGACAGTGTTCGCCACTTTTCTGGGCGGATCAAATGCAATCAAGATTACTTACCTTGCGAAAGAATGCGGTTTGCTTGGTGGTGTTTTTGTTTGCACTAGTTCTGCAAAATCGGCTTGGCCAATCCAATTTTGAACTGCTTGTCAAACCTGCCACTTCGCCTGAACTGGTAGCCAGGCGCCCTTCAATGCCTGTCGGTCTTGGAGGATACCCCGTGGTTTGGTCAAGGGGTAAAGGGACACCATGGGAAGCCCATTTTGGAGGTTCCATACAAAGCCCAATACAGAACACCAGGATCCCCCATCCACATCAGCCCGTCGAAGCTGAGAAGATGCCTTCCGCGTGTGCGTTTGTTCAGGCGCCTCCATATGCTTCCCTTGTAAGGACAAAAAGAACATCTATGGGGAAGGGTCGTTTATTTTCCAGACACACGCCGCTATAGTTTGGACACGTCGCTAGCAAGAAACAAGAAACCATCAAGACACCAAGAATCTTGAGGACGCTAAAACACCACCAGGTATTGGACACTTTCTACAACCGTGTGAAACCCCACCGCCGGACGTGTCCGTCCGACGTGTTTGGTCCCACCGTCTAGGCCCTGCACCCTCCCATCTTCGCAGGCACAGGAGCTTGAGCTAAGCTGCTGAAAGTCGACCCGGAACATTGACGCACCGATCGGTGCGTGAATTAGCTGCAACAAGTCTGGACTTGTTGTTGAAAGGTATTCGAAAGAAAACTCAGGGAGTGATGCTTAAACTGGCTGGGTCTGGACTGGTTGCTTGCCATGCTCCAGTATTGTGATGTGAATGGTGCTTCAAAGACGGATGGGGTTGACCAAATTAATTGACGTACCCCTCCAGACTGGTCTAGTGCGTTTTTTAGCTGTGCCAACCATTCAAATTATCCATGCCGACTTTGCCCAGACGTCACGCTCTTATGATGTTCCAAGACATGGTTGGCTTTTCGTGGGCATTCATTCCTGGCATCCATGAGCAAAATTCTCACCCACGAAAATCCCCTCCCCCCAATGTCTTCCCCAAACTCACAATAGACTACCAGTATTTATTGTCAGTTGCTCATATCAGGCCTTGACATCTGAAGGATGGTGACTCTTTGATACCAACACTGAATTGCCTCAACCGAGAACAGCATTTCCATGCCTGAAACGCCTTCAATGTCGTTCACTCACAGACAGAACATGGGAACATGTATCATGATCTTTGCAAGCCGGCTATGGACATGATTTCCTAGGAAGTCCCCATGGGTCCATGGTCACCACCGAGACGTAGCTTTTCCCTCTCACCGGTGGTGAAACGGAAACGTGAGACTTGCAGGGCAGTATCAGCGCAAGCACACGATACCATTTAAAGGAAACTGTCAACCGTTTTGGGGGTCTCGAAATGGATTCTTAAGGCGGGGTGGCCTGGCAGCAGGGTCATGACCCTTGGCAGTCCTGAGGGCCGCTTTGGAGACCTTGATTTGAGGGGTCCATCGTTCGGCCCCTGCCAAACTGTTCAGCTCTTCCCTGTTGGACAGAATCCATGCCGAGCAGCACCAGCCGAGCTTGGTGGCTTAAGGGTTCCATCCATTGCTGGCGCAAGTTCTTGTTCACTCACATGGCTTCGAGTTCTAGCGATGCCCCAGAAGCTCCGGCAGCAGAACTTACCTCCAAAGGAGTGCCGCCGTGAAGCGGCTCCAACCTGATTCCAAGTCTTCGACCTTCAAAAAGTTATTTGCTGGTATTGCGAATCGACGGGCAAACTATAATTCTCCCAAAAAACTTGAAAGGCTTCAAAGGCCTTCGCTTGCAGGTTTCTTTTAGGTTCTCCGTTGCTCCTTGATTTCATAGGTCAAAAAAGCAACCACCATGGGTGGGAGAAGCTGGGACAGATTTCAATCATCTCGTCGCGCTCTGTACAAACTTATTGATGTCAAGCTTTGCACACAAATAATATTGTGTTTACACGAGACAGCTTAGACTATCCGAGAGGAAGAAGATCCAGGTATGAGACGTAGGGGATGGCTAGTCTCTGTCAGCTGTTGCTCCAGTACTGCCCTTGGTGCCGCGACTCGGATCTGCATGCTCTGCATGCGGCTAAATCCATGTGCTCTCAGCTTTCTCGCAAACTGGTTGCAACTTGCGCTGCGCAAAGCGGAAATGAAAGAAATCCCTGAGTACGGAAGCTTAATGGATGTCAGGATCGGTTTCATTCGTTTCTCCAACAGGCTTTTCATTCTGAAGTTACTCCTCTTCAACCGGCCATTTGGAAAAACGCCTCTAGTGGGTTGCATGTGGAAACCCCAAGCTCAGAGCAATGGACGGCCTCCGTGTCCTCTACGAGGGCACGGATAGGGGAAAATCATTCGGCGGCATCGCGCATGGGCGCTTCCTTTTGGAAGGCCGGTCCTTCTCGCTCGCTACACGGCTTGGTACCAGGGCAAGGCTTGCCTGCTCGCTGGCAAACAAAAAGCATCCCCTGTATCCCTTTGGGTGTGGGTCAACATTTAACCACCAGGAATTGGACCGCAGGTTTTAGTCTACTTTTCCATTTACCAGGGCAAGCCATTTTGGGTACCCATTTGTGACCCACGGCCCTTTTAATTTTGCGAATCCCTGAAAAGCCAGTGAATGTCACACCGTCCCTCTCCAGGAACTGGGCCAAGTTGATTTCAACCCAACCACTTTTGAAGGGGAACCAAAAACGGCCCGTCTCCAAACAGGGGATGTGCCGTATGCCGTTGGTTTCCCTTTACCAAGCAAAAGGGACTCCAAAGAGCGACACTCCCAAAACCCACGTTCTTTCAACAATGCTTGGTCGACGCTTCAAGGGGAGCAACAGTCCCATTTTTTAAGCAACTAAGTGGCTGGATTTCCACCACTAAACCACCACAAGATCAAAAATGATGAACAAAATGTTTCCCAACGACAAGCCACGAATTCAAGTGCTTCGCTTCCCGGGGCCTGGCCCCATCGCCCCCAACCCGCCGCTCCAAGCCGCGGGCATTTTGCCGATCGCGAGATCGAGTCCGCGTCCGCGTCCGCGCATCAGCGGGTGACGAAGGGCAGGTCTGGCGCCCTGGCGAGGCGATGTCCCGTGGTGAATGGACGCATCCAAAGGTCCTGAGTGGATGGCCCACAAAGAAGGATCGCACCTTTTGCATGCTCTCTAAAACGGCCTTCCCAATAGAATAAAGTAAAAGTCCATGAACACAGGAAGTGAGAAAAGGGGTTCCGTTGTCAACAAGGTGTCTTCCTGCAGCTTCCCTTTCCAACAAACTCTACAGGGGTTGTCATCACCCGTGTCACAGGCGGACACTTTGGTACACTACGCCCCCATGAACGTTGCCATGCCTGTTGGCGTACCTGACACAAGCAGGGCCCTTTTCGACAATGTTCCTCTGGAAGGAGCTGTCTGGTGGGTTCCATAGCAACATGGGAGCGTGCCCCGCAAAAAGAGTGGTTTCTCACAATGCGCGAATCGCTGTCCAAGAGGGCAATTCCAGTGGCCTCTCAACAGACTGACAGGCAAAAATAATCTCCAGACTGACAACCAGTGGCTTCCCCCCACTTCGACGCTCGAGCTATCGCGCTATACGGTTGTGCGTCACCTGCTGCCCCCAATTGCTCCACCTGGAAATGGGTACATCTCAAAAGGGAGCATCCTCTTTGGTGAAACGAAGCACCGGTCAATGGTCATTCAACCCGTGTTGCGCTGCCCGCTAAATACAGTACTGTGGATGGACGACCTGCACCACCTAAGAAACCCTGGAATGATGATGCCCCCGTAAATACCAACCCACCATGGTTTCCCCCGGTGGTCTGAACTGGTTTTCGTCCATCCACAGCACCCTCCCCTCGACGCCTCAGATTCAAGATGTTGGCAGTCTGCTGCAGCGCGATCCGCTTGTTCGTCATGCCCATGACCATGTGCGGGTGCTGGCGGGGCCCATGTCATCTGGGTCTGTTTATTCAGAAAAGTCCAAACATGTTGGTGTTCCTGTTAGTACCCCTTGAACCCACTCCAAAAAGGGTACCCAAGAGAAAAGACACACAAGGCGGGTGGTAGGAACTGAGATGAACATCCAGGAGCAAAACGAGGTTAGGAAAATAGGTTTCGTTTTCACCTGCAGCCAGAAAACTGGATGCTTGGCCTAGTCGTACAAGTATTCTCAATATCCATCACAGGATCAACACCAAGCGAACTCCGAATTTCAGAGCCAAGCCCCCGCCGAAGGCATCAGGAGTTGATAGTTTGGCTGGAATGAGGGAAATATGGTTGATCAACAAAGCCATCCTCATCCAAACTTGACTCAAAAGGGACCGCCGACTCTACAGCAAACCCTTTCAGCTGGCTCATTCTAAAGTATTCTAAAGTGACACCCACTGAACCACCATTGAGATGCCAAGAATTTGAGGGTTCAATGAAAGGGTCGGAATCTCGACTGCTCAGGATCCCTGAGGGTCAGCAGGGACTAGGAACAAGCTGCTCCAAACCCGTACAAGCAAGGGTACCCTTTTCACCTTCCAGAACATGGGAAAAGAGGAAAACTCGCTGTAATGTATATTGGTCTTATTTGTGTTTTGCCTTCTTTCTTTCTTGTGGAGGGGGGGGGCATTAGCAACGTTAGTCATGGCTTGCGTCACATTATCTGCAGTCGTCCGTCAACTTCATATGATCATTGTAGAAGTTCTGACTTCCTCGAGTTCACTCTATTTCCTGACAAGTACATGTTTATTCATACAAAGACTGGCCTTACGTAGGTTCCAAGGATGAAGCCAGAGAACAAATGATAGATTCCTAAGACTCTATGATCTATCAAACAGTATGTTTAAAACAACGTCTAGATGTTTAATGCTTTTTGTCTGTTGATGTCGTATGTCTTCTCCACTTGATGATTCCCTTTCTACATCTCGTCGCGTCTCAACTCCATCCATTCATCTCACCAACAAGCTGGGGATGAAATTGTTCATATACAAAGACAAACCAAACTATTCTAGAATTGATTTTGTTGATTTAATGTGGTGTCTTTTCTGTCTATGTAGTGACGTTCCTTCCTTTAGTAGTATCTCAATTGTAGTTTAGAACATTTAAACTATTGAACATTTGTCTTTATTATCATGATTCTAAGTAAACGACAACCGCAAAATGGCCGACCTGCACATATTCACCTACCCCGCCCCGATCAAGACATGTGCGCAATCTCTCGCTACCATAAGTTCGGCGGCTAAATGCAAGGACCCCGGATCAATCCTTTCAAGAAGTCAAGTTCCGGAGATGTGTGGATTACAGCCTTCCATTTGGTCAATAAACGGCGTGCTGTGGTCCTGTTTTCCGCAGGTGAACTACAGGCATCACTACTGGCACCATGGCTTGCAGAAACCGGGGCCGTTCTTTTGCCATGCTCAAAGTCCCTTCCCAGCAGGTAAGTGAGACCTTGCCCCAAACCTGACAGTGGACGAAACGATCGTGACCAACTGGGTGGTCAATAGAATTGGGGAAGAACATCCATCCCCTTTTGGCTTATTTTAGGGAACATTTGAAGCACTGGCGCTATTTAGCAACCAGGCCGGTGACCATGGTTGCAAGGGCCCATTTGCCCGGTGTTGACGATGTTCAACCCCCGGAAGCCCTCAAACAAAAAGG